TTCACTGTTCATCTTTTTTATCTTCATTTTCTTAGATAAGTCCCTTTAACATTTCATATAATAAGGGCTTGGTGATGATGAACTCCTTGAACTTGATCTTATCTGAGAAGCACTTTATCTGTCCTTCCGTTCTAAATGAAAACTTTGCTGGATAGAGCAATCTTGGATGTAGGTCTTTGGATTTCATGACTTGGAATCCTTCTTTCCAGCCCCTTCTTGCCTGTAAGGTCTCTTTTGAGAATTCAGCTGACAGTCTGATGGGAACTCCTTTGTAGGTGACTGTCCCCTTAGCTCTTGCTGCTTCTAGAATTCTTTCTTTCATTTTAATCTTGGCTAATATAATTATGATGTGCCTTGGTGTGTTCCTTTTTGGGTCTAAGTTCTTTGGGACTCTCTGAGCTTCCTGGATTTCCTGGAAGTCTATTTCCTTTGCCAGATTAGGGAAATTCTCCTTTGTTATTTGTTCAAATAAGTTTTCCACTGGTGGCTGTTCCTCTTCCCCTTCTGGTACCCCTAGAATTCGGATGTTGGAGTGTTTAAGATGTCCTGGAGGTTCCTAAGTCTCTCCTCATTTTTTTGAATTCTTGTTTCTTCATTCTTTTCTGTTTGGCCATTATTTGCTTTCTTCTGGTCCACTCCTTTGATTTGAGTCCCAGTTTCCTTTCCATTACTATTGGTTTCCTGTGCGTTACCATTTATTTCAATTAGTTTAGCCTTCATATGTTCCTCTAATTTGTGACTAAAATCAACCAGTTCTGTGAGCATCCTGATGACCAGTGTTTTGAACTGTGCATCTGAAAGTTTTGCTATTTCTTCATCACTTAGATTTATGGGCTCTGGGGCTTTGAGATCTTCTTGAGCTATTTTTGGTCTGTTTGGGCCCATTATGTATGAGCAGCGTGGGAGCCTTAGGGGCGGGGCCTCCAGGGCGGGGTTACTGGGTAGTCACGCTGTATGTGGGGGCGGGGTCAGAGTGGGGAAATGGCGGCCGTCTCTGCTGCCTCCCATCGCTGGGACCCACTCGGTCCCATCTCACTGCCCACTGGTCTATCTGCGTAGGAATGCGCCACCACAGTCAACCCGCTGCCCTGCACCCTCTCGGGATCCGCTGGTCGCTCACTGGGTCGGCCTGTTGCAACCCCACGCCTGGGATCCACGCGGCGCCTGAGTCCGTCTGACCGAGTTTTCCTGTGCAACCCCGCTCCGCAAGCTGCTGGTTTCGTCCTTCTTACCGGTCAAGCTGAAGCATTCATTGTTATCAGACTTCTGAAAAGTTCAATTTTCTGTGTTCTGGCTGTTTTCTGTTGCTAATATTTTGTTGTCTCTAAACTTGGTTGTGTGAGGAAGCACGGCATTGCCCCCTTTGCCTCCATCTTGGCGTAAGTCCTGCCATTTACTATTTGTTTGTTTCCAAGTCATTTATTTTACTTTCTAGGCTTCAATAACCTTATCTCTTAGGTAAGGGTAGGATACTTATGCCTAATTGAGATAATTTTTGTGAGATGTAATAAGAGCAACTCGCGTCTCGAGAGCACCCCTGTGTGCCAGGGTCTGAACGTGTGCGTTGCCCCCTTCAGTCCTCACAGCGGCCCTGGGAGGTAGTTGTCATCATCATCATCACCATCCCGGCTTCACAGAGGAGGAAGCTGAGCCTTAGGCAGGTTTGGTGATTTGCTGAAATTAGTAAGAGTAAGAACTTCAGGATCTAGCCAATTTTGCTTGACTCCAGAACTTTAGCTTTTAAATATTTAGTAGAATTGTGTATATAAAACACTTTTTAAAATAGGATTTTATTTATTTATCTTTAGAGAGGGGGCTATTACATTCTGGTATTATTTCATGATCTGACCCTCTTATAAAGTGCTTATTTCCACATACGGTCACTTCGTTTTCTGCTAATGAACACTCTAAAAAGTAACACTTTCTAGCACACCTGCTGAACATGATAGTTCTGTGAAAATAAATGTATTATTGCTAATATTTTCTCCATGTTGCCAAAATTGCATATACCTTATTGAAAACCTATATATCAATTTTAGCTTTATTTAATATTTTTAGATAATATTACTGATTTTGAATTGGAAGTAACCATGGATTAGATAGCATCACTTGGATTATCAACCAGAAAGTTTCTCATATATGTTTTTTTTAAATTTTTTTATTGATTATGCTGTTACAGTTGTTCTATTCCCCCTTTCATTCCCCTCCACCCTACCCCCCCATCCCCACCATTACCCCCCCTTTAGTTTATGACCATGTGTCTCAAGTCCTTCTCATATATGTTAAGGTTATAGTTTAAACATGGTCTGTAGCAAGAAATTGATTATTTCCAGAGCAGGATTATGAATTATGGCTTTATTTACATTTCTATTAACATGATTAGTGAAGAGTTAAGTTTAAATAGACTTCTTGTCTGATGAAGGGAAACTGAGTATGGATCTTTAAAAACATTTTTAAGGCCACAGTAAACACATTTTTCACTGTGGTGGCCATGGTCAGCACAGCGCTTTTTGAAAACAAAAGTGATTCGTCTGCACAGTAGGGAACAGGAGACCAGACCGACCCGTGGCTGCACGAGTGTGTTTCAGAGGAGATTTCTTCACTAGTCCAGAGGGCTAAATGACATCGAAACTCTCTTTCAGCTCTCAGTTCTGTGGTTTTTAATTGATTTTCATTTTCCTACTACCCTAAATATGTCATCAGCCAAACACTTCATGGAAGTTTCTCAAACTTTGTATAAAGTCTTAACCTGTCACGTGCTAGTAAGAATTAAGGGAGACACAATGGACTGCGGTGAGTGCTATTAGCGGCAGAATGGCACCGATGTTACTGACAACCGCACCTTGGTTCAGCCACCTTGGTACCTGAATTCTGGCTCTGAGGGAGTTCAGAGCCAAGACTCCAATCCGAGCAGAGTTCATTTAGAAAGTCACAGAGGTAGAGAGTGAGCCGTGGAAGGAGTGAGCAGAGGATACATAACACAGAAACCAGAGGTGGCGAACAAGCCCGTGGATCATTATTCAGACTCATTTGTAATCCAAGAAGCATAGATTTAAATGACATCTATTTTTACTCGCTAAATCAGCAGAAGTTACTTACTGCCGTGAAAAATTAGTACCAATAATTGTGATATGTTTCTTTGGTATTACTAAAAATGGGAGGTTATGAGGATTATGTTGCAACCTGGAAAAATATAATACCAGAGAGAAGTAATTAGGAGTTACAGTTTTCAAACTAGTTAGGTGGGTTATGAGTTAATTGACATTTTCCCTGTTTTCTATAATCTGATGGTATTTATTTATTTATTTATTTAATTTTTTAAAAAAATTTTTATTTATTGATCTTTAGAAGGGAAGGGAAGGGAAGGAGAAAGGGAGAGAAACATCAATGTCTGGTTGCCTCTCGTGCGTCCCCCGCTGGGAACTGGCCTGCAACCCAGGCATGTGCCCTGACTGGGAATCGAACCTGAGAGCACAGGTTCCCAGGCCTGTGCTCAATCCACTGAGCTACACCAGCCAGGGCTAATCTGATGGTATTTATAATTAAAAGAATGACCTAAACTCATTCTTAATCTTTCTCTTTTGGGTGTCCTATTATACTTACTATTTGAAGAACAAATCTTGGGACTTGATTCATTTTAAAAATTCAAACACCTTAGACTCAACCTCAACCCTTTTCTTTCTCTCTCCACCTTATATTAATTCTATCAGCAAGTGTTCCTGGCTCTGCCCTTCAGAATATGTGTCAGAAATTGTCATTTGTCACCACCTCCACTGGTACCACCCTGGTTCGAGCCACCATGGGTGTCTCCCCTGGAATACTGCAGTAGCTTCCTAGCCGGTCTCTTTGATTCCACCCTTGTTCATTCCCGGTGTGTTCTCAACACAGTAGCCAACTCGAGGACAAGCCAGGCCCCATCACATTACTGCTGAGAGCCCTGTAGTGGTTCCTCATGTCATCGGAAGTAAAAGACGAAATGCCTAAGGTAGCCCTGTGACACAGAGCTCGTACAGAATCTGTCCTCCACCCCCAAGCTCACACCCTTCCTTCCTTATTTCTTACCATTCTGCTTTTCTGTTCTCTCTGCCTAAAAACTCTTCCTGCAGATATTTAAAAGGTGGGCTCTTTCCCCTGCTTCGGGTCTGCACAGATGTCACCTTACCGTGAAGCAGGCCTTCCCAAACCATCACACCACCCTTTTCCTGCAATGACGCCCCCAACGCTCTGCATGTCCCTTCTCGGCTTTACCCTTCCCAGCACTGTGTGACTTACTCTATGTCTTTTACCAAGTGTGTGTAGGCGGATGTATCTCCCCCAATTAGAAATCCCACGGAGCTGGGATTTCTGTCTGTTTTGCTCCTTGCTATAACCTTAGCACCTAGATTAGCACCTGGCACAGAGTAGGACCTCAATAAATATATATTAAATAGATGACTTTTTAATTGCTCCATATATGTCTTAGTCTCAAATTAGTTCGAGAGCTTTTTGAGGGTGTGTCTGTCACATGTTGCTTTTGTACACCCCCCACCCCCCAACTCCAGCCCTCCTCAAGGGCAGAAAAGGCAAGGCAGGTGGGCACACTAGGGCACTGCAGGCGGTATCGGTGGTACTGGGTTCTCCGGCCTCTCGGGCTAGCACTCGACCCAAACTGCTTGGGGTAGAGGATGGGCTGTGCTGGAACGTTCTGTATCTTGATCCGGGTGGTGGCTCTGTGACTGAATACACGAGTGAAAACTCACACAGCTGTGTGTTTAAGATTAGTGCACCTTTGGTACTAACTTGTGTGTGCATGATGACTCAGTAAAAAGGTTTAAAAAAAGTTTATTCCATTCTTTGATATCATCAGAGGAAGTTACACAGGCTAAATGATACATTAAGACAATTAGGAAAGAGTTCTGTGTGTTTTTCCTTATTGAGAATTTCTATAGTATATTGAAATTTTTTGTGTTGAATTCAAAATTAAATTAAAACAATTATTATCTCCTTTGTCTTTTTTTCAGAGCTAGAAGTAGCAGAATTGCACAGAAAAATCAAAGAGGCTTTTGAAGTGTTTGATCATGAGGCGAATGATGCAGTGGATGTGAGGTTTGGAAATATTTTCTTTGCTCTCATTCTGAATTAGTGACAGAACTCATAAATGGAAGAGGCCTCTTTCGTCTCCTTTTTATGTTCCTTGGATTTATCATGCTAATTAAAGTATTTATTTTGTTGTGCTCTATAAAAAATCTTTTTCTAACTATTGTTTCATATCAATACTCATTCATTATAGTCTGGTGAAAAGAATATATCTACATTGCCTATTACAACCCACTGACGCTCAATTCTCTGAGTCAGATAAACGGAACTGTAGCTTTAGGGTTAGACACAAATTTGGTGTTCAGGTAATTTTCGTAGAGTGAATGAATAGAATTTTCTTTTAAAATGAATTGGTATATGCTGTCAAGCCATGAGTGGGATACGATCCAGAAAGATTAATAATGCTTAAGCAATGATATACTTCCCAAGGAAAACAATGAAAAGAACCAAAACAAAAGAACATAAAACAATGAAAGACATGCCTAGTGGTAGATCTCGAGTGGAGGACAGGAAACAAAGACTAGTTTGAGACCAGAAAGCAAAATAAAGGCGAAAGGTCAGCATGTCACCGTTCTTCTGTTGTCCCTTCCCCTTCCCTCTGTTTTGCACTCGTGGGAGGGTTAGTGGAAGTTCTGTCTCAGTAGACAGTGGCGGGGTCTGGTGCTGGAACTGCCTGGCAGCCAGTGGGTTTCTCCTCACTACATACGACAGGATGAACTGAGCCCACCGCTTCCCACCTGTCTGCCTGGGGCCACCTGGGGTCTGGAATCTGACAGCCTGGGGTCCAGCCCTGGCCTGCGGCAGTGAGTAACTCATTCATTCGGACTATGCACGGTTTCCACATTCACCTCACAGGACTGGTGAGTGTACGCAGTGCTCCCAGTGTGGTCTGGAGACCCCTTGTGTCCCAAGGACCCTCTCAGGGATCTATGAAGTCAAAAGTATTTTTATAGTAAGTCAGAGACAGTATTTGCTATTTTCATTCTCATTTTTTTTACAAGTGTGTGTTGGAGTTTTGAAAAAGCCACATGATGTGTGATATCGCAGCAGATCGATCGCAGAACCAGACAGGGGAGTCCAGCTGTCTTCTGTGAAGCCAGATGTGAAAGAAAGTTGCAGACACGTAAAGCATATAAATAACCTTAATATATTCAATTAATCTCCCATTAGTGGATATTTAGGTTGTCTCCAGACTTTTGCTACAATAGTCCACATTGCAGAGAATATCTTAGTGTGCATGTTATTTTGCAAAAGTAGGAATTTTTCTCTAGAATAAATTAACTCCTGGAAATATGTCAAAGCACCTGAAGGTTTTGGTAGGTGTTGCTGTCTTCACAATAGTCTTTCACTTTGTCACCTGAGCCTGCCTGTCCCCCACTCCCTCTTAACCAGATTAAAAATCAAATGTCAAGGTTTTTGCTAATCTTATATGTGAGAAACAGAAACTTATGTTAAATTTCATTTTCGTAGTTATGGGCATCTCTTCATACAGCTTAAAGTGACTGGTATTTCCTTTTGTTTGAACAGGAAGTTCATGATTGCTCCCTATTTTTCCCATTGAATTGTTTATATATTTTTCCCCGTTGAATTTTTATGGATTAAAGATCTTAGCCTTAGTTTGTGAAATGTATCATCCGTCTTTTGACTGTTTTTACTTTCTGACATTCAGAAATTTAAAAAAATAGTCAAATCACACATTTCTTGAGTGTGGATTTAATTTTTAGAAACAAACAAAAGTCATTGGAGTAGTTTTAATAGGATAAATTAAAGTCACCCTGAATCAAGATAACTTGATAAAAAATAAAAAGCATATAAATGCCTCTAAAATCAAAGAATACCTCTAAAGTGAAAAAGCTAATTTTTCTATGTAGCTCATAAATTTAATTTGAAAGTCACTCAAATTGTATTCACAAGTGTAGTTTTTAATAATCTATTTTTTAAAAAGAAATCTTTGGTGTTAGCAGAATAAATGTGCTCTAGAAGTCAGTATAGTCCATTGCTGGCTTCATCACTGATTTTTTTATGTGCTACTCTCTTATTATGTCATTTTCCTTCTCTATAAAATTGAAATAATAATACCTCATCAGTTAAGACACAGGAATATTTAGGGTTTCCAGTGAAAGAATATGAACAAGGTTTGAAAAGTATGTAAGATGAAACCCACTTACGCATTTTTTAACAACCCGTTCTAACCAGTTGCAGAACAGATGGGTGCTCAGGAACCTGGTGAGCTAGATGACGTCAGATCCAGCTCAGGAATCGAAGTGCCGCCCTTCTCCTCTCCCCAGCCACATCTGCCCGAGTCTCGGTGGTCTCATTATCAGTATTCCAGCCTGTTCAGTGTTTACTCTGTACCGGCCTCGCCTGTAGGACGTTTTCCCTCACGTTTTCTTAGTCCTTAGGCTGTGTGTTGCAGCCCAGCAGCTCACAGTACTTTCTTGCTAACATGGAGTCTCTTTTTTCTCTGCTTCCATGTCAGTGCGGCCTGTCTCTGAGGCGCACGCCACCCAGTATTCATCTGTTTCACTGTTAAGGAGATTTAAGTTTCTTAGGCAATGGGCAGGAACCTTCCGTATATCATGTCTTGTCTAAAATGCAGTAACATGTAGGTAACGAGAACCTTTTGGTAATGTATTAGAAATGAACTCTTCCTAAGAGGACTTAAGGTGCCATAAATAATACTTCTATTTTTCACATTTAATAATTATTTTTGAAGATAAGTGAATAAACATTTTATAATTCACTTTTATCAGGTAGTAAAGAGTCTGAGTGATACGGAGAAATTGTTTGGACAGTTTCCCCAAACAATTATGGGAAAGCTTAAGTCTACTCAGAGAGCTTTTGAAAAACGACAGAGGTAAATGGGTCTGCATTGTGTGATGGAAAACATAGTATAAATTACAGAACAGGAATGGGGTTGTTGGGCCCACAGACTCCTTGGTAGGGAAGAAATTGTACAACCTGTGGTTTATTCATGCAGTGATTATTGCATACATATGAATGACAGGAATGATGAACTGTGACTCCGGGTGTAACTTAGATAAATTTCAGAAAAATGTTGAATTACAAAATTTCAAAAGGAAGAAAACATTATATATAAATTTTAAACACCCAGATTAATCATGTCTATTGTTTATGAATCCAGGACATCCATGGTCACGGTCAACATTATCTTCAGAATAGTGGCTGCATCTGTAGATGAGGAAGGGGTGGGGAGTGGGACTTTAGCTGTTTCTGCAATGTTTTATGGTTAAGGTAAAGTCTGAAGCCTGTGTGGCAAAATATTAATGTCTGCTAAATGTTGGTATTAGACATATGGCTGTTACACTTTTTCTGTACTTTTTCTGAAATATTTCACAATTACACAGAAATAAATTTTTATTTTATTTTATTTTATTTTATTTTATTTTATTTTATTTTATTTTATTTTATTTTATTTTATTTTATTTTATTTTATTTTATTTTATTTTATTTTATTTATTTTATTATTTTATTGATTATGCCATGACAGTTCTATTTCCCCCATTCATTCCCCTCCACCCTGCACACCCCTCCCCCACCATCCCCCCCTTTAGTTTATGTCCATGTGTCTCAAGTTCTTTAGATTATATATTTCCCATACTATTCTTACCCTCCCCCCTATCTATTTTCTATTTACGGTCTATGCTACTTATTTTCTGTACCTTCTCCCCCCTTCTCCTTCTCCCACTCCCCTGTTGCTAACCCTCCATGTGATCTTCATTTCTATGGTTCTGCTGCTGATCTAGCTGTCCTCTTAGTTTGCTTTTGTTTTAGGTGTGGTTCTTAACAACTGTGAGTTTGCTGTCCTTTCACTGTTCATCTTTTTTATCTTCTTTTTCTTAGATAAGTCCCTTTAACATTTCATATAATAAGGGCTTGGTGATGATGAACTCCTTGAATTTGATCTTATCTGAGAAGCACTTTATCTGTCCTTCCATTCTCAATGAAAGCTTTGCTGGATAGAGGAATCTTGGTTGTAGGTCTTTGGTTTTCATGACTTGGAATACTTCTTTCCAGCCCCTTCTTGCCTGTAAGGTCACTTTTGAGAAATCCGCTGGCTGACAGTCTAATGGGAACTCCTTTGTAGGTGACTGTCCCCTTAGCTCTTGCTGCTTCTAGGATTCTCTCCTTCATTTTAATCTTGGCTAATGTAATTATGATGTGCCTTGGTGTATTCCTTCTTGGGTCCAAGTTCTTTGGGACTCTTTGAGCTTCCTGGATTTCCTGGAAGTCTATTTCCTTTGCCAGATTGGGGAAGTTCTCCTTTATTATTTGTTCAAATAAGTTTTCCACTTGTGACTGTTCCTCTTTTCCTTCTGGTACCTCTATAATTCGGATGTTGGAGCGTTTAAAGATGTCCTGGAAGTTCTTTAGCCTCTCTTCATTTTTTTGGATTCTTGTTTCTTTATCCTTTTCTGTTTGGTCATTTTTTTCTTCCTTCTGGTCCACTCCCTTGACTTGAGTCCCAGTTTCCTTTCCATCACAATTGGTTTCCTGTGCATTTCCCTTCATTTCAATTAGTTTAGCCTTCATATGTTTCTCTAATTTGTGACTAAAATCAACCAGTTCTGTGAGCATCCTGATCACCAATGTTTTGAACTGTGCTTCTGATAGATTGGCAATTTCTTGTTCACTTAGATTTATGGGCTCTGGGGCTCTGAGTTGTTCTTGAGCCATGTTTTGATCTGTTCGCACCTGTTAGGTATGAGGAGAGGAGCCCTAGGTGTTCACCAGGGCAGGGCCACCCAGGTTGCTGGTTTGTGATGCTGTATGTGGGGGCAGGGTCAGAGAGGGAGCAATGGCAGTTCCCTCTGCTCCTTCCCACCACTGGGGCCTGCCCAATCTGTCTCCTTGCTCGGTCCTTTGCTGTTTTATCTGTGCCCAAATGTGCGGCCATGGTCAGCCTGCCGCCTTGCGCCTTCACTGGGTCTGCTCGTTGCTACCCCACACCTGGGATTGGCCCACGGCTGCTTGGGTCAAGGGATCTT